GGGGGGGGGGGGGGGGTAAAGCCCCCCAATATTTGAAGTTTGGCAAAGGTTGAGAAACATGATATGGGGATAGGGAGGTCTCAATTCGAGTCCTGATAATTCTCTATGGCTGCATACAGAGAACATGCTTCATGTGGGTATTGAATTACCACATTTCCCTGAATCTGCACATGAAGCACGAATGAATACTCAGTAATATTCTAGCTTTGCCCAGCCCGGTGAGCCTCAAAGCCCCCAAGATTTAACACTAGCTAAGCTTAGGGCGTTGGGTGAATGTCGTCCCAAGGTTTGTAACTCAACTGCTCAGTGATCTACGAACACCGTTGGGAGTCCCAGTTGTGGACGTGCCCTGCAATCCTCTCCAGAGGAGAAGTGGGGCAGAATGACCTGTCCCCAGCAGAGACTCCTGGGGCAGAGCCAACCCCAGATGCTGGCCTCATGCAGAGACACCTCGGGCCCCAGCCTCTTCTCCTCGTCAACGGTCGCTTGCTGGAGTTTCTCAGCCACAGCCTGTCCAGCGGACATCCGGGAAGCACACTCCCAGATGCAAAACCTGAGCAAAGTAACCATCCAGGGAGAAGCCTTGCTTACTCCTGCAACCTTTAAGATCTGCCATCACTTAGATGTGGCAGGATGAACTGTGTGTTCACCCCTTTCCCCACACAAACTCCTGGCTGAGGCACGGGGGAGGAAAATGCAAAGGGGGTGGGTGGGGGACCATTTGCAGCAAAATCCAAAGTAACGGCGGATAAGGCCAGAGTCCTAGCCACCAACTTCGTATCATACTTGTGAGAAGGCCAGTTGCAGCCCTTATTCTTAGTGGGCGCCCTGTAATTTTCCACTGCCATCAACTCTGTTCTTGCCAACGTAGCAAACTTTCAGCGCTAAGAAATGCTGTGATTCAGACTCTGGGAAGACTCCTGCAGGGATGGGGCGGCTTTGGGGATGGGCAAATTTGGGGAGGGTGCTGGAATTCAAAGGGGCCATCCTCACCCCTGAGTTTTACCCCTTGCTGCGGGCAGGAATTGAAATTTAACCACCCCTGCTAAATGTTAACCGTCTGCACTGACCTCTCCAGATCTGTTGGACTTCAGCGCCCATCATCTCAAGCCTGTAGGGTCAATGCTTGCAACTGGTTGGGGATGAAGGGAGTTGTAGCCCAACAGACCCAGGGTGGGGCAACTCCAGGAAATCTGGGTGCAAGCAAATGCTCACATCTTTCTTCAGAAGAGTCCAAGAGGGATCTGCTAGTTTTTAGATCTACTCACCATCCCAAATCAAGCACACTTGGCTCTGGTAGGCTATTGGTCGAGGCTCAAGTATTTAGAAATGCTTTTCTGATCCCTTCCTTTTTTTAAAAAGTTGGGGTTTAGCCGTGACTTCTGCCTGTTGCAGCAAGGTGTGTTACCTGCTCCTGACTCTTGGCAAACTGTCTACGGTTGGGAGGGTGGCGATTCTGCCTCTGCTAATTAGGCACCGTCTATTCTGTAGGATTCCAGATTTTCAGGGAGCTTTTTGAACTGAGTCAGAAGGTAGAAAGTTTACTTTTATGAACTTCCACACTGTAATTTTGTGGTGAATGTTGACAGAGCTTCAATTCCAAGCCTATGTCTGTTTAAATCCTTAAAGACGGAGGAACTAACATTTGATATAAGCAAACTCTTCCTGTGAATGATGCATGATCCGCCCAGGTCAGCAGAAATTATCTGCTGCCCACTATCTGTCTAAACATCTTTAGGGAAAATTGCTGATTGCTACGTTTCTTTTTTAATTATGTTCTGATTTGTATTTTTATTTTAAGAATTCCTCTGATTGCAGCCATATACTGTAACTTTCAAAGAAAGAAGCAAAAGCTGTTTAATTAATTGCCCTGTGGATTCACACAATTAAAAATTCACATTAATTGGGCTCCTAAAAAAAAAAGATGGAAGGTACTCCTGGAGCGACAGCCCTCGAAATCCATCTCTAATATCTCTGATAAATCAGAATTCTACAATCCACAACTAGCATAATGCCAAGAAGGTGAAAAGTGCCAGACTGGGGTGAACATTTCCAGGTCTAACAGGTTTGTCTTCCAACGAGTTCTGTGGAAGTTTGGAACCATCGTCCCACATTGTATTTTTTCTCTAGGAAGGAAGGAGGAAGAGGAGGGAGGGAGGAAGGAGAAAGAAGGGAGGGAGGGAGGG